TTAGCTCGACTAAGGAAATCCAGATTAACACCAAACTGCGGGAATTTGGTTGTTTCTGTCGTGCCAAAACACAAGTTTCAAGCATTAGGAATATTTGAAGAGGCACCTATTTGATTTTCAAGCCCTCAATGGATCAAAATGAACCCAACACTTACCAACTTGGCTCTGTGGAGCTCCAGCGACAACCAAATTCAAAGCACTGGAAGCCATCTGCTTTCGAGTGGGGTTGATAACAGTCTCCCCATCCACCAGCCCCACCCTCACTGCACCTACAAGGAAAAACCCCAGGAAATTATTGTTCTAATGAGGAAGTTCCTCGAGGCATCATCTTACTTGGAAATTTATAGATCTAGCAGCAATAATTAAAGCTGTACGTTAATTTTAAAATATCAGCACGTTGAGTGTATATTAAGGACAACTGTGGAAGACAAAATTATCTGGTTTTGAATTACTTTTGGGTAGTATTTCTGGGTGAAGACAATGCCAAGTATTATACACACAATGCTGTGAGTCTACTGGGCTTTTTTTAGTCATTTCAGCACATGTTTTCTAGAAAAAAAAAAAAAGGCAGGTGACAGGAAAGTACAGTTAAATATTTGTTCCTGGTTGGGTCATTTCTTTTCCAAAAAAATATGCATAACTAAAATAATCTCTTCTTGAGTTCCTGGAGAAAAAGTATTCTTATCCAGCTATTTTCAAAACAATGCTTTTCAAGACTAAGCTACTATTAAGAAGAAAATAATTTATTGGTCTCTATACTCCACTATTTCTGCATTATAAACCTTTCCAAAAATTTATTTAGTCCAGGAAAAATAATCCTTTTAAGTGCAATAATCCTATCCATTGTAAAATTATTTTTAGTGCTTGGAATTCAACATTTAGATTCAGCTTCTCTTTAAAAAAACTAAAGCAGGAAGTGTGGTCTAGGTCTCTCATTACATTCAAATCATCCCTAATTTCAAGGTATTCACTTACCAATAGGACCATTCCAGGGGATATCAGACAGTGCAAGTGCTGCAGAAGCTAAAATGAGACATAAAAATGTGGATTAGGAAAAGTGGATCCGGTGAAATCCCACACAAGCAGTGATTCCTCCCAGCCCTCTTACCTCCATTAATGGCCAGAATATCAGGATCATTGACACCATCTACTGCTAAAAGATTACAAAGGATCTGGCATAAGATAAAAGACAATGAATAATTGTGACCTACACATTTTTTTATGAGCTGTCAACACAAAGCTAAGGACAGTAAAACAGAACATTCCACATATCCACACAAGCCCAGACTGCAAATGGAAATTTGTGCAGGTATTTAAAGCAGAAAGCTGACAAAAACCCCACTAACGTATAATATTGTGCCATATATCAAACATCTACCACTGGCCTTCCTTGCCTCTGTTTTACAGAGGAGATTTCAATTGTTTTCTTCTATCTGGACAACAAAATTTGGAAAATAGGATGTAACAAAAATCCCTTAATGACAAAGTAAAAAAGCAGCATTACACTATTAGAATGGTTTGCCAAGTGTAAACCCTCCCTGGATATTAATCAAAATCATTTTTCTTAAAGCAGTGCCTGTGTCATGTGAAATTTTCATTGTCCATGCCCCAGCTCTCCATTTTGGAGGTAACATGACCCACCTGTGTATCATAAAAGTATCCTCCTGGGAAGAGAGGTCTGATTGATCGATCTGCAGAAGAAATAACCAAAGTCTAAGAAGCAGCTGGTTTCCAGTAGTTAATATTCAATTTGTCTTGCAATAACCTGATCAAATTATTTAAATGAAACACCCCCAAAAAAAGGCAGAGAACCCAGAAAGAAATTTAGCATGATGTATACAACCCTAAAATTCCAATCAGGACTGACAAACAAGCAAGTACAGCTTTATTTCCTGACATTACCACAGAAACCCAACTCTGCAAACAGCAGTTCTAAACGACTGCATTTCCAAACACTCGTGAGAACATCTCAAAATATTTAAAAGACATTGTGACTGAAAGGTTTCAGCCTACCTATGACTCTGCTTGTAAGAATTTCTTTATCTGTGGAGCCGAGCTCTCTTCTCAGGTAGTTTGTAGGGATTCTTCCTGCTGCAGCAGCTTTCTGTCGATAGTCAACCTTGGAAAAACAGAACACATTCCTGCAGACAACTGATACTCACTGCAGAGCCACCCAAGCACTCAGAAGAGACACCTTATATATAATTTATAACACAATTATATTTTATATGTATTTTATAATCCAATCCCTTGCTCAGAGCAAAGTCGACCCAGAATTCAGGTGACATGTATGAAACAGGCTCTGTTCCAGGGTAGATCCCTGAGGGACTCACTGTTGCTTCCCTGAAGGTGGAATATCAATCATGGAATCACAGAATGGCTTGGGCTGGAAAGAACCTTAAGGATGATCCGGTTCCAACCCCAACCCCGTAGTTCAAATCCTTAATAATCACAAGCCTTTTGAGCCTCCTAAACCAACTAAAACAGAATATCTGGGCTTGGATGTCGTGGCAAAGTTCACAAGGTCAAGGCACACAAGCTCCAGGGCTCACCCCTCATCCACAGAGAATGATCCTACACATCCAGACATTTTATCATGAACTCCAGGGTCTGTCATTGCAGTGCATTCCTCACTCCCCCCAGCGCCCTGAACTCCTCCATTTAAGGATTCCGCTGCTAAATCTTCCACAAAAGATCACAAACCTAATGTTTTGGTAAGTACTTACCACTAATGGCATAAACTGAGACGGAGCAGGCTTGGTTTTGCTGACTGCTGTGACCATCACTGCTGTGTCACCCAGCTGGGTTGAAGAAAAAAAAAAAAAAGATAAAAAACCTGAAGTTACCTGCAAATAAAATAACCCCTGATGTTCTAAACTTATTCACAAACTAATTTATGAAAAACAATTATTCTTTGCAGGACACAACCCCATAAATCCACCCTTCATGCCAATATTTTTGCTTTTCAAACATAATTTTTTCCTATAAAACACAACTGTCTTTTCATTAGGGATTAAGTTGCTCCTTCAGTCTCTGTATCCCACATCTAACAGGCTCTGATACCCTAACAATGACTTGTAAGATGCAGAAAATTTGAAGTTGCACGACTTTTCACTACTTATTTTTTCTTACCTGAACAACAGCGCAACCATCAGCAAACTTGGCAAGTTTTCCAGAAGACAGCTCCATCTTTCTGAGGGAAAGACATAACCTGTTACTCATGGTGAATTCAACCAAATTCTCCAGCAATTCTGCTTTAATCTCCAGCCCCAGCTGCACAGAACAAAGGTTACACTTCACACTTCACTTCAGGTACAGAAATCGAAATTCTTTGGCCGAAAGTGACCAAATCCTCTTAACTTGAACGAGCTTTTGCCTCAAGTGTCCTGCTCCTTTCACCTTGAAGCAAAGCCTTGCAGCCACATTGGGTGTCACCTGGAGTTCCAGCCATTCCCTGGAGACAGAAGTGAATCACCACCGTTCCAGGTGGGATTCAGCCAGTGGGAAACACCCTCACAGGCACAGTGGAGCTGCCTGCAAATCCACAGAGCACCGTTTCCCACCACAGCAGCCTCTCTCCATGTTTCCTGCAGGCTCCCTCCAGGCACTGAAAAGCCACAATTAGGTCGCCCCAAAGCTTATCCTCTCCAGGCTCAACAGGATCACAGAGTCAATCAGGATGGAAAACACCTCTGAGATCACTCAGTCCAACCTAATAAGTGGACCTTGAGTTATTTTGCCAAGGTGGCAAGGTACCCACAGACACCCATCAGCATCTCGATTCACTGCATCCTTAGGGCTCGTTATTCCCGGATGCCCCTAAGGGATGGCCAGGATGATTCCACCCATTGAGGCTCATTCTCTGTGTGTTTTCGAGCCTATCAGCAAAGATCGCCATCAAAGAACATCCCTAGCTAAGCTAATCTGGACATACTCCGCATTTCGCACCCGTTTCCCCTCACGTTTGCCTTCTCTCCCCCCGGGACAGCCCCTGCACCGCCCCCTCCCCTCAGGGCCCCTC